TCATTTATTTTGAGAAAGAGAAAAAGCATGTGCAGGGGAGGGGCAGAAGAAGACGGGGAGAGAGAATCCCAAGCAGGCTCCACGCTGTCAGCACAGAGCCCCAGGCAGGGCTTGATCCCACAAAATGTGAGATCATGGTCTGAGTCATGATCAAGAATCAGATGCTTAACCAACTGAGCCACCCAGGGGCCCTGTGGCAGGTGTATCTGGAGGCCGTGGGAAGGCGGGCCACGGATAGTAGTGGTTTTCCCCTGCTGTGTTTCTGGGGAAGAAGGTATTTCTACCACACGCCTGCTCAGGGTGAAAAGAGCAGAAACAGCTTTAAAGGTATTTTTTTTTTATATGTTTAGCAATAATGTTTTGATGATTGCTAAAATTACTTGTGATTCTGTCTCTATATTTTCCAAAGCACCTGGGTATTTCACTTGGCATGTACCTTTAAAGTTAAGAACTAAAGGAGAGAGAGAGAGAGAGAGAGAGACAGAGACAGACATGGAGAAAGAGATTCTAATCTGCACATGGAATATGAAGGGACAGAAAACCATCAGTGCATTCTTTTTACAAAACCTTATTTCAGACTTGGGGAGCTCACGTGTCATTTAAAGATGAGTAAAAATCCAAATGAAATGTGCCATTGACAAGATTATTTTACAGAAAAGCAGGAAAACATGGCCTCCAAGAATTAGAGAGCATAAGCCTGGCAAGCTGTACTTTGAACTTCTAGATTGCTTTGTCTGGGGGCTTTGAATAAAATTAAGGAAAGGCAGATTCTAGGAACTAAGAAGTTAAAAAAAATAACTGACGAATGCCAAGGTGAGATAAAATTGAGAAGCCCTGGGTATTAGAAGGCAGCTAGGGAGCATGAGGGAGGGAGGTTACAAAACGTGTGTGATGTTGATTGTAAAATGTTTGAGGAAGGGGTCACGAGCAAAAGAATAGGGCGGAAAGTCATGGTGGGGATTGGAGGGTGACGGCGAGCCCCTGGAATCAGGAGAGATGCAGACGGGCAGCCGCAAGGGGACGGACAGACGGGGCTTGCAGACATGTGCTCTCTCTGATGAGGAGATGCCCAGACCCAAATGAAACACAATAAAGAAGGAACAGTCATTAACCAGGGAGAAGAAAATCTGGTTTTGCAAAATAAGGGGTTCACCATATCAATTACAAAGTTAATGAAAAGAAACATCTAGATATAACCTGGAGTCTTGGAGTCCCCAGAGGAGCCTCAACCCCAGCAAAGACAGGTTACTCTGGGCAGCGCAGAGATCAATGTGAAACTTGGCCAGGAATCCAGAAGGATCTGAGTTCCCCCCTCCTCCTTCAGGACCTGACGCATGGGAATCCTGGTGGGAACGTTGTCTTGTACAACGTTAAGGCATTTGTTAAGGCATTTCCAGCCAGTGACCCCCTGGCCCCGCTCACTTCTGCAGGCAAGGCGAGCCTCCGGAGAGAGACAGAGGGGCAGACAGAGAGAGATCCCAGACGGGAGGCCGGGCTCTGGTGCATTTCTGCAGCTTTTGCGAGCGTGGCCGAGTCAAATCTGAAATGGGGCAGCAGCCGCAGCGGGCAGGGGAAGCAGGTGGAGAATGGCTTTGGGTTTGATGATTATTGTGGTGGTCATTATTTGGGATGGCTGCGAAGCTGTATGCCTGTGTGTTGGGGACAGTGCACCAGTCCCAAGGAGGCGGGGAGGTGGCTGGGGTGGCGTCCGTGAGGGTGAGAAGAGGTGCCCGGGTGTGCGCGGAGGACGTTCCTCCTGGTCACAGAGGACGTGTGTAACAGGCGCGGGCTGCGGGGCCGTGGGTGGGAGCCAGAAGGCTCTCTCATAGTTGCCGTGTCTTCTCAGGGCCGTCGTGATGTCGTGGTCCGACAGAAGGTGTGGCGGGGAGGCGATGGGGGACCAGGAGGGAGGGCAGGCCAGAGTGCCCGCGGCTCACCGTCCCCTGCAGGTGCTTGTCCCGGGCAGGAATTAGACGTGGAGGTGACAGTTCCAGCCCCAGGGGGAGGCGACAAACCAGAACAAGACAGAGATGACAAAACCAGGAGACAGACCACCACTGTTGGTGGGTCACACGCAAGAATCCGTAGCGGAAAGGTGTGACCAATCAGATGACCGATCACAAGTGCGTGTCCACAGAAACCAGTAGCTTGGCTGTGTGTCGGCAGGAAATACGGAGTATAACGCGACAAGATTTCATTCTCAAGAGCAGTAAAATATCTCCATGTGACTCTAACATCGAAGAGAGTATATATCCAATAAGAACTTAAAAGATTTGGCGAACGTACAGTAGATTTGAATAGATGGAAAGAGATGCCAAGTTCCCTAATGTGGTGATTCACCATTTTCAGCGTGTTGACTTTCTCCAAGTTAATGTATGACTTTATATAATCTACACCATTTAGTATGAACCGTAGTGGTAATACAATAAAACCCACATAAGTCATTCACATAAAAATACTAAAAAAGGCTTTTGGTTTTAATTGTTGAAGTGTTTCTCAGGGGTAGCTAGAAATGTAAATTAATGACAGTGGTCAAAAGTCGTTGAAAATAATGAAGGGGACTGGTGGCCGATGATCACATAGAACCTCACTGTGAATTGTCAAGGATTAAAATGGTGGAGTACGGGGGCACCTGGGTGGCTCAGTCGGTTAAGCGTCAGGGTCTTGATTTTGGCTCAGGTCATGATCTCACATTCACGGGATTGAGCCCTGCTGAGCATGGAGCCTGCTGGGGATTCTGTCTCTCCCTCTCTGCCCCTCCCTCCCTCACACTCATGTACATGCTTTCTTCTCTCTCTCTTTCTCTCTCTGTCAAAATAAATAAATACACTTAAAAAAATAACAATAAAACGGTGGAGGACTCATGTAATGACAGTAGAGCAATGGAAGAGATTAGAAAGTTCGGAAACTGAGTCACCGTAAGTAATAGTTCGATTTGTGTTAAAGTTCACATTTTTAATCAATGAGAAAGGATACAAGTTAGACTCATTCATTAATTCATCAGAAGTAAATATTGTTAAAGTAATGAGGAAATGAGAAAAGTATGATTTTTTTTTTTTAGGAGAAGTATGCTTTTAGGGGCCCCTGGGTGGCTCAGTCAGTTAAGCGTCTGACTTCAGCTCAGGTCATGATCTCATGTTTCGTGGGTTTGAGCCCTGCGTCGGGCTCTGTGCTGACAGCTCAGAACCTGGAGCCTGCTTCCGATTCTGTGTGTCCCTCTCTTTCTGCCCTTCCCCTGCTCACACTCTGTCTTTCTCTCTCTCAAAAGTATTAAAACATTAAAAAAGTGAAAAAACAAAAAGAAGTATGATTTTAAAGACAGCAAAGGCCTTTCTAACCATAATGCCAGAGACAGATATACTAAAAAATCAAGTTTCCATTATAAGAATGGGAATCAGCATTTTAAAATATCCACAGAAATAAAATGAAAGGATACTTTACAAGTTTATAAAAACTAATGAATACATGAAGTAAAATGTTAAAATTCTCAAGTCAGGTTTTAGGAAGACAAATGATGTGTTCAAGGAAACAACTTGAACAGACCATTATGTAAAGAAAAATTTATACTTGATAAACATAAAATAGTTTAATGTTGGACAGAGCATAGTATTGCATAGACATAGAAGACTGTTTTCTCCTTCTCTGACTGATGAAAACTGTAATGACTTGGGGAGGATTAGGGCCTTGATTCTTCTGTGTAGGTGTTTAGTTTATGGGAAACCGAAATAATTTAATTATGCGACTCAGGACCTCGGGGTCATGAGTTCGATCCCCATGTTGCGTGCAGAGTTTGCTTAAACTCTTTACAAAAAGTGTTTATTCTCTTTGCCACAGAGATTTAAAGGAACGGCCAGATCAGTTCAAAACAGACGTGCACATAGATGCTCCTGGCACAGTATCTTTGAAAGCAAAATTCTGGCTAACCTACATTTCTGTCTAAGAGAGTGGATTGATTACGAATCAACTTTACATTGATAATACGGACTCCTGTGAGCTAGTCACACACTTGTGGTGTTGTGTTTTATAGGAATATACGTGGATGTAGGATATGGGAGATCATTGGCTGCTGTGTACCAAACTATGAAATAAGGGATAAAATAGAACCATATTCAGTTAAAATCTTTGAAAAGTTTTCATTCCAGTATAGTTAACACACAGTGTGATATTAGTTTCCGGTAGACGATATGGTGACTCAGCACGTATGCACATCACCAGAGCTCACCAGGATAAGTGCATCTTTCAAGCCCGTCATCTGTTTCCCCTTCCCCCACCCGCCTCCCTTCTGTTGACCATCAGTGTGTTCTCTCTAGTTAAGAGTCTGTTGCTTTGATTTGTCTCCTTTTTGTTTGTTTTATTCCACTTATGAGTGAAATCACTTGGTATTTATCTATTTCTGACTGGCTTTATTTCACTCAGCGTCGTATACCCTAGTTGTATCCAGGTCTTTGCAGATGGCAGGGCGTCATTCTTTTCATGGATGAGTAATATTCCATTGTGTACAAATTACCACATATTCTTTATCCATTCATCAGTTGATGGACACTTGAGCTGTGTCCATAATTTGGCTATTGTATGTAAGTAATGTTGTAGGGTGCCCCGGGGGCTCAGCCAGTTGAGCATCGGACTTCGGTTCAGGTCATGATCTCATGGTTCATGAGTCTGAGCCCTGCGTCGGGCTCTGTGCTGATGGCTCAGAACCTGGATCCCGCTTTGGATTCTGTGTCTCTCCCTCTCTCTGCCCCTCTCCCGCTTGTGCTCTATTTCTCTTTCTCTGTCTCTCTCAAAAATAAACATTAAAAAATTTTAATAAAAAAATAATGCTGCTATAATCATACTAGTGCATGTATGTTTTCAAATTGGCGTTTTCCTATTCTTCTGGGTAAATAACCAGTAGTGGAATTAATGGATCATGTGGTAATTCTATTTCTAGTGTTTTGAAGCACTCTTATGGTGTTTTCCACAGTGGCTGTACCAGTTTACATTCCCACCAACAGTTCAGGAGGGTTCTCTTTTTTCCCACGTCCTCACCAACACTTTTTATTTCTTGTCTTTTTCATATTAGCCGTTCTGACTGCTGTGTGTTAATACCTCATTGTGGTTTTGGTTTGCATCGCTGCTTAAGTGATGGTGAGCATCTTTTCATGTGTCTATTGGCCATCCTCATTTCTTTGGAGAAATGTCTGTGTCTCTTGCCCATGAAAAAAAATTTTTAACGTGTATTTATTTTTGAGACAGAGAGAGAGACAGAGCGCGAGACGGGGAGGAACAGAGAGAGGGAGACACAGAATACGAAGCAGGCTCCAGACTCCGAGCTGTCAGCACAAAGCCCCACGCGGGGCTCAAACCCACAAATCACGAGATCATGACCTGAGCTGAAGTTGGATGCTTAACTGACTGAGCCACCCAGGCGCCCCATTAACATGACATAGTTTAAAAAAAAACTTTTATTAATAAAATGTAGTGCATTTCACAAAACCCTGCTAATTTGAAAATATTTGTTTCTACATTTGGGAAAAGCAATCTCCAATCTTTCGTCCCGAATTTGTGTGGTAAGAGCTCCGTGAACTGTTACAGCCACACCGTGTCGAGTTTTCGGAAACGTTGAGCTGGCATCACGTGGCTGGGGGGGTTTTCTGAAATGCTGAACACTTCTGCATCAGACAGTGATCTTTCAGTGGTTTGCAAGGTGTTTGCATTCCTGGAAAACTCAGTGTGTGTTAAAACTGCACAGAAAGTTGTCCTAGGCTCCACTGGCTATACTGGGACGGGCCTCCCAGAATGCAGGTCAAGGGCAATTCTTTGTTAGGCTGGGTCGTTCTGCCCTTTGTAGGACCCTCACCAGCCCGGTTGCCTGCCCACTAAAGGCCATCAGTGCCACCCCCATTTATTAACCATGTTGTTTTGTTTTCTGCATATCTGATGCTCTAACATCATGGGGCCTCACTGACCCTGGAGGAGCTGTCCCCCCAAGGACAAGCCGATTCCAAGAGACAGTAGAGGACTTGCTCATGAGCTCACTTTTTATAGGCAAACCAGCATTTGGAGCTACCCCCTCCTCTGTAGGCCATCCTATCCCGGGCCGTCATCACCCCTGGGCAGGGGACCAAGCAGCTTGGGGGCGGCCTCTGTGCTCCAGAGCCTGTTGAAATTATTCAAATACCCAACCTCAGCCTGCTGCCCTGCCTCACGTGTTCGCATCTCCCCTTTCCCTCTGTCTCCCGAGTGACCCTGGTGCTTCCCTGCGTGGCCCTGTGTGGCGCCATGGGCTCCCTGCTCCCGGGCACTGAGCAGCAAACTATCTTTACAGGGCACCTGTCTCCTGATCCGTTGGCCGCCCCGGGCCTGAATAATGATAACAACCTACCGTTTCCAACACCCGTGCACTGGGCCAACCCAGACTACCCCTTCCCACGTTTCCAGAACGCCTCTGCAAATGTCCTGTGTTGAGATGCACAGTTGGAAAGTCCCCGGTGGGTAGGGAGGACCCCCTGGACGGGGGCGGGGGAGGCGTGTCTCCACCTTCTTCTGCCTGTCTTCTCCGTGGAGTGAGGGGCAGGTGCGGACCCCAGCATCCCTCACCCTGGTGTCTGAGCGGGAGGCTCTGTAAGGATCCGGGTTCGAGGTCACCAGCGGGTCTCTGTGCCTGTGCGTGTGCTCCCCGGCGGACATCTGGTCCTCCCAGACTCTGCTTTCTGTAAACCCTTCTTTATGTGCCTCCAGTGAAATTTGATTTCCTCGATCTGTCTACTTTCATTGACTTCTGCTTTTATCACTGTCAGTTTTGGGGGGCAATGCTAATGAGTTTCCTGGCCTGTGCCAGCCAGCAGGCAGCTCCCCTGCAGGGGACAAGCTCTGTGGATACACAGGGCCTTTGCGTTGATTAATGTGCCCGATTCCATATGGTGATGCGAGCAGGGTGCTCGTGCTCTTAGTGTGCACGTGACATAAGACACATTTGCATCTGCACGCCAAGGGGGAGTGCAGGGGACTGCTTCGGAGCCGTGTGGCCTCCCCCCATCCATTTACATTAATAGATTCATTAGCAGGACTTTAAAAGTGCAAACAGATTAGAGCTGGGATGGTTTAATTAGCAAATCAACCATTAATATCCAATTTGTTTCTCATCTCTATTTTCTGACCTGGTAGTTTCTAACTCCAAAAGGCCCCTGCGGTGTCTCCCATCCTTCCTGTCTCTGCAGCCTGGACCCAAGATCAGGTGTTGCTGAACCTCGTGGGGACCGTTCGGTGTCCTTGAAACTCGTGTCTGTGCGTCTAGGCGCCCCTTTACCCCTGCTAATGCGGACTCGGACTCCCCAAGGTGTTTTATTCTCTGTTCTCTTGCCCTTCCAGCAGGTGGCGCCCACTCACGCTGTCAAGGGCAGTGACCCACGGTCACTGGAGCGAGGTCGCTCAGCAGAAGACCACCTCTTGGTGGGGGGTTTGGTGGGGTTGTCATCTGCCGGCTCCTTATCTTTTTTTATTTCTGCAAACTCCTCGTTCGTGCATGTGCATGGGGCCCCTGTATTCCCATTAAGGCAGCTGAAGACACTGGGGTGTGCAGGAGGTGAGTGAGTCGTGTCTCCAGACCTGTTTGCATCCAGGGCAACATGCTCTTGCTTCTGGCCTGTGTTCAGAGAGGCGCGTACCGCGGGGCCGCCGCAGCTCAGCAGCCTGTGTCCTCCGACAAGTCTTGCTGGGCCCCTGTCCCTCGGGGGAAGGAGGGATGATAATAGCACCCCCCACGTCGGGTGGTCGCAGGACCATGTGAATGAATACAGGTGGAGACCCTGGCCAGTGGCAGAAGGGAGAGCCTGGGCAACAGGACGCAATTATCCGTGAGCCGCTCGTCCGCTTGCTGGTTAGGGGTAGTTACTAGTTCACTGGGGTCTTGGGGAGCATCCGGCCTGTATCTGTTTTCTAGGGCGGACGCGGACTGAGGCCCACGATCCAGGCGTGGAGGGCTGGCTCCTCCTGAGGCCCCCTCTCCTTCCCGTGTCCTGTTGATCTGCCCTCACTCCCTGTTCGTTCTCCAATCCCTGCCTGTAGGGACACCCCATGACCTCACTGAATCCAAATTATCTCTTGAAAGCCTTCCTGCAAATACAGCCCTGTTCTGAGTTACTGGGGGTTAGGATTTCAACGCGAAGTTTGGGGGACACAGCTCAACCCATAAGAGATGGTGGCTGTTAGGTCAGACGACCAGCTCCCCACCTTCCTTCACTTTCCCGTCCTCCTTTGTGACCGTGTCTTTGAATCCTTGGGTTAGGCGGGGTGACGGTCATGCGCCCGCCCTTGGCCGGAGGGTCAAAGTGCAAGATTGTCCGCTTAGGCCTTTTATCTCTTAAGTGACTTGTCTGATACCCAGCACTCAACCAAACTTAGGCTGGAATGGGTGCGGTAAGGAAAATTGAGAGGCATTAGTAATTAAATCCACGTGTCATGGGGGCAGAGTGGCTATTAAGTGGGCTGCAGTGAATTTGGAGCATACGTCTGAAGAATGCCGATGATTCCTATGGAAATCTTAGCAGCGTGTATTCTTTGTGCATGTCTTAGTGGGTTAATGCCTTCATGGTATTAATCCATGTCCGGTAACCATGCAGAGGACAGAGGAGTGACAGACGGGAGGATGGCGGGCTGGGGCGAGGCTTAAACTCTGGGGAATATTTAGCAGTTGTGCGTCTCTCCTTTTATCTTTAATAAATACCTGCCTGTTCACTGAACGCTCAGAAGGCCTCTTGAGGGAGGTGGCTGTGAGGGGGCCCAGCCGCCGGCCGTGGGTCAGGCTGGAGAGTCTGGGCTCCCCGCATGGCTAATACCCATACCCCCGGTTGTCATCGGGTCCTGTATGGGGTGTGCCTTCAACACGTTAACGTGGAACAACATTTTATAATAATTGGCTAAGCCATTCTCTTACAGAATCTTCCAAGGAGAAAAAACCGGTTTTAATTGTGTCTTGTTTTTTTTTTAGGAACTTTTGGATTAAGGAAACCCTGGTATTTTCCCTTTACCGCGTCGTACTGGAGGAACTTGGGTGGTTTCCTGGCAAAGAGACCACACGCTCCCAGTTCTAACCTGTCCTTCTCCAGCGAGAACTTTGACGATAAAGGTTTGTAAAGAGTAGCCTTATTAGATGCGCGTCTTCCCTTCCGGTCTGTTTTGTTTCTGTTTTTCCTCCTGGTTGAGTCTCTGGAACTTGGTGTGCCTTCCTCAGCTGCCCGCTTTCGGGGGTCGGTCTCGGGCTCAGAAACATAGCTCAGGGCAACGTCGTAAGAAAGGATCCCCTGCTGACGTTTGCGTTGGGGGCCAGAACCCTGGAGTGTCGATGCACCTGTTGTCTGTAGCCCCGCTGTGGGCTGGGTGCGTCTGTGCGTGCGTTCTCTGTCTGCAGGACGAAGCTTCTGCTCTAACATGAATTTGTGTGAGAAATAAAAGGAGAGGTGGTCAGCTGTCAGGTGTAGTGTGCTGTAGAAATTGCAGAGTGTTTCACACACGCTAGCTTATTCGTCATGACTGAGAGGAGGACCATCACTGCCCTGTCAAGGCAAGGAGCGTGCTTCCCAGTGGTGAGGGCAGGACCCCCATCCATCTGGGCTCCCCTTATGCCCCTTCCACAGAAGCATGACTTCAGGGGCAATTTACAGATATACAGGCTCCCATCATGATAGTTTTATACCACAAGTCAACGTTGTAAGGTAACCTTTTTTCTTTTCTTTTTTTTTGTTTTTAGATTTTTAATGTTTATTTTTCAGTGAGAGAGAGACAGAGCGCAAGCAGGGGAGGGGCAGAGAGAGAGGGAGACACAGAATCCGAAGCAGGCTCCAGGCTCTGAGCTGTCAGCACAGAGCCCGACGCAGGGCTCGAACCCTTGATCCATGAGATCGTGACCTGAGCCAAAGTCGGACACTTAATCCAGTAAGCCACCCAGGTGCCCCCATAACCTTTTTTCTTTTTTTTATTTTTCTGACTACACAAGTCAAATAGGAATCTTTGAGGACATTCGGAACATACCACACCACAACAGACTATCACTCATGGGCACTTTGGTGCGTAACCTGCCTGTGATTTTCCCTCTGCACACGTACAAATTGCGTGTGTGCGTGTTCCTTTTTCTCCTCTTACGAGATGCATAACAGAAGGGCACAAAAGTCTGTCATCAGCCACGCCATTTAATTGAGGCCATTATGTGATTTGCCTCTTGCTTTTGGTAAGGAAGGGTGTTTGAGTTGTGCGTGTTCCACGGAGCTCTAATTCGAATCCACGGCAGACGACTGAATTCGTAAGCGTGAGCACCACTGGGAGTCCTCCAGGCTGAATCTGCCTCTTCTCCTCAGGGTCCTCGCTGCCGATCGGGGAGGGAAAGCCAGGAGGTCCCCCGGGCGTTGCCCTGCTGTCTGTGACCAAGGAATATGAGCGCCACAAGGCGGCCGTCCGAGACCTGACCCTCACCTTCCACAGAGGCCAGATCACTGTCCTGCTGGGGACCAACGGTGCCGGGAAAACCACAGTCATGTGCGTGTCCTTTCACCCTCGTCAAATGCGGGTTTGATTCTAAAAAATGTCAGTTTACCTGTGAGACAGGAAGCTTAGGTTTCTTTTCTTCCTTTTGGTTTTGAGACGGAGTCGCTGTGTGCTCTGGGACAGACAGCTAGTGGGGAGTGCACAGCAGCCGCCCTCGGCTGGGGGCAGATGGGGCTTTACCCCTTTACCCCTAAAAAGACCCCGCAGTCTTTTATCCCCTACACATAACACATCGTGGTTTTACTTTAGTCTTTGAGTGTCCTACGACGCTTCCCATCTTATCTCTACGCTTAAGTTTGTTCGTGTATCTATGGGAAGATGAAACTTGGGAAGAAGTCTGCAAATGTTTTAACCAGCTGAGTATTTCTTTTTTCATGTTCTGCTTTTTGTGTGCTTGGGCTTTTTTTGTGAAGGCTTGGTGTTTGGTTTGGGGTCCAATGGCTCCAGGCTTGATTAAAGAATCAAATTGTGGAATCCCAGAGGAAAAACGAACTCAAAAGCGTGGGGCTCACGCAGCAGCCCTGAGCTGCCTGCAGAAACGGGTCTCGTCCCGGGAAAAGCCCCAACATGGCCAAACTTGTCCCAGGAATAAGGACATTTCTCTCGGTTCTGGTTTCATACGACTAACGTGCACTTAGTTAAACGTGAAAAGTATTATTTGCTTTGAACTTCCTAAGAAACGTGGCAAAGTAACATGTAGAAAGCTTCAGAAATTTCAATTAAAAATAGAGAAACAAGGAAAAGTTTTCCTCTTGGCTTGGATTGTGAAATAGAGCCGGAGATCCCACTGAGCGTTCTTGTAGGGTTTTCAGACTGGAAAAGTAGGCATTCTGCAGAGAATGAGTCAGAAAGCCAGCTTTGGGAGTACACTTTTTTCTTTCTTTTAAGTTTATTTATGTATTTTGAGAGACAGACAGAAAGCACGTGTATGGGGAGGAACAGATGAGAGAGAGAGAGAGAGAGAGAGAGAGAGAGAATCCCAGGCAGGCTCCACACCATCAGTGCAGACCCTGATGTGGGGCTCGAGCTCACCGTGAGATGATGACCTGAGCCGAGCTTAAGGGTCAGACGCTTAACCGACTGAGCCACCCTGGCGCCCCTGTATAATTTCTCAGAGATGTGGAAATAGTCTAAAACCTAAATAATACACTTTCTGAGATAAAGCAGCAGAGCCAGGCAGTCCTCGGGCTCCCTTCGAGGAGGCCACGCAGGCGAACTTCCTGATTTGACGTGGACAGCGCACCTGAGAGAAGCCAGGAGCTCCTGGCCACGGAGTTGCATGTCCAGGCTTGCGTTCCACTAGGCTTGTGTCTCTACTCAGGAGGACTTAAGGAAACACGCCATCTCCTTCCCTGGTTTCCGTGTCTGTAAAACAAAGTCGGATTTTACCGTCTTAAGCTCCCATGCCACTAGAATGTCTATGATCAGCAGGTTTAGGGGAGTATAAACATCATCATAAGCCCACGGCTCCGAGATTAAGCCACCCATCCTGCTAAGCTCCTTCCGGCTTGTCACCGTGTAAAAGCGGGTCCTTGGACGGTCGCCCCGCATCCCTCTGGGTTGCTGGCATCGGGAGCAGCGGGCTCCTGGGTCCTCTGCTGATTTGTCGTCTCCGGCAGATCCATGCTGACGGGGCTCCACCCGCCCACTTCCGGAACCATCACCGTCAACGGCAGGAACCTGCAGACAGACTTGTCTGCCATCAGAAGGGAGCTCGGGGTGTGTCCTCAGCGGGACGTCCTGTTTGACAACCTCACCGTCCTGGAGCACCTGGTCCTCTTTGCTTCCATCAAGGCCCCACAGTGGACCCGGAAGGAGCTGTGCCAGCAGGTCAACAGGTTAGCACCCGCCGTGTCTTTGGTAGTGATGGGTGTACAAAGAGGTGCTTTAAAAGTACCTTTGGTGTCTTTGCTTATGAGAAGAGGAGAGCTAGCAAATTGTCCTTCACTGTGGAGTTAGGACACAGCCGCCAGCACTGGAAATTCCAGAGAAGGCTTCTCAGGGAGGACTCTGAACTTGACTTGGCCTGTCCTTGGGGTCTAGATGGGTGAGCCCACGTGGGAACGTGTGGCCGAGGCTGCGCGTGGAAGGTTTGTGTCTGGAGCACGGGGCCGGGTGTGTGTCCTGAAGTGAAAGAATGGGGGGTGGGCCGAGAACTAGCTCCTGGGGCCCAGCTGGATCTGCTAAAGGGGGTCAGACTTCTTCACACAAGCAGGTGCACATGGGCAGGGGAGGGCCAGCAGCTGCCGCTCCGGTAGACTTGTCCTGCGGCCCCAGGGCAGAGAGCACAGCCCTGGGGAAGGCCGGGGACAGAGGCCGCTTTGAGCGGGGGACCGTGGCAGCCTGAGGGGTGGCAGAGCCAGTCGAGGGGGAGAGAAGAAGTCCCAGAACTGAAGACTGTTCAATGTCGGAAGGAGCAGACTGTGTGGACCAGCGGGATGTCCAGGGTGGGGAGGGGAGGAGTCCGGTGGATGGCTGAATGCATTTCCGGTCTCCCTGGACCAGAGAGAGGAGGGACGAACCGGAGGTCCCTGGTGGGAAATCAAAGCGGTGTCTCGGGGATGAGCTCGGAAGGACAGGTGGGAGCGGGGACAGCAGCCTGAGTCACGGACAGCAGCC